TCACACATAGCTCGTTTAATTCCTACCTTGTTGATTTTACAGGGAATATCAAACATACATTGTCCTTTAAATTTTGGTGGAAGTCTACGTTGAAGGAAAATTGATACGTTCTCACCTGAACTTACATTCTCAAGGCCAATATGTATTATTTTTATAGTGAAAATATCTTTCAAGAACGTGCATACCTCGACATCTTTTGGATTATATCAAAAAATGGTATATTAATATCTAGCTTCTAAAAATATTAAGAATATCCTTCTTCTCTGCTTATTTATCACGTTTAACCAATATTGATATGAAGGGAAGTGGCGTCACATTGGGAGAAATCAAGGGAGAGGGTTTCTATTTACCTTATTTTTTCTCTAGCATTTTGCATTAACTCTCTCTTCCTCATGAGGTATTGATTCTTCTTCCTTTTCATTTTCCCTTGCGTCAGTTTTTATTTTATTTTATTGGGATCGCGATTCTTCATTTTTTCATTGGATTTAGCGGTAACATTCTAAGGAATAGGTTTGAAGATGGTGCAACTTTGAAGTGTGATGGTAGTAATATTTCCTCATTGATTTGCCTCGATTTGAGATGGTAGCCTTCCTTGCGATTCTATTCGTCCCACAGTTTGAGGCAATTGTTCCATTTGCTTATGTAACTCATGTAGATGTGCTTTAGTCCTTTATTGAAACTTCTAGGACAACACCTAACATTCGATGATGGACTCTAATGATGACATCTCTGGTTGATACAACTGAGGTGGCGGTGGCGTTGGTTGATACAATTGATTTGGTCTAGGATTTTTTGCATAGATGAAGTTTGAATTATCCCTCCACCCCCGATTATAGGTATTTTCGAGAGGATTGTAAGTTATACGGGGAGGACTCGAAAAATTGCCAATTTTATTCACTTGTGTAGTATCGTCTTCTTGTAACATCAGACAACAATTCGTGGGATGGTTTGGCCTTGTGCATAATGCGCAAAGTCTAGCGGTACTTGTTTTGCCTACAACAAGAGATTAAACAATATTAGTTAAATTATCAATTTTAGTTTCCAATTAAATTGTACTTAGCTCGTGAACCCATCGAGTATGTTCACTCGATGAACCAAATTGTTGATAGTTAGCGACCATGGTAGAAATTATATATCTGGCCACATGCAGAGTCAAATTCACAAGTGCTTCTCCACTAGTTGGTCAAGTATTTTTACCTCCAAAGGAAGTAGTCCTTCATAGAAATTTTGGAGAAGAGATTTTTCGGTTAACCCGTGCTATGAAACGCTAGCACAAAGTTTCATGAATCATTCCTAATAGTCGTATAATGACTAACTATCCCTTTTCCATATTCATAGGATGCTTCAGATTAATTCACTCACTCTTTCCGTGAGGAAGAACATGTCAAGAAAAAGACAAGTCATGTCAGCCCAAGTAGTAACAAAATTGGGTGGTAAGTAAAATAGTCAATCTTTAGCCAAATAGGCAAAGGAAAAAGGAAAACAACAAAGTTTAATCTGATCATCAGATACTCCTTATAGTTTCATGCTACAGCAAACCATATGAAATTCAATAAGAGGTTTACGAGGATTTTTATTCGGTAATCCATGGAAAACAGGAAGAATATGGATTAAGTTGGTCTTGAATTCAAATGGTGTTTATCCTTTGAATAATGCGATGCATAATGGGTTGGAAGGTGCTACAACTAATTGTTAGATTGTCTGATCAACCATAGAGATTGCTTCGTTGTCTTGTTGTTGTTTTTGTCTTCTTTCCTTGTGTATACGTGTAGTCTTTAGGCTATTGCTTTGGTTTCAAATTCAAAATCAACTAGTTTGCCCATATTTTTCCTAGTCATAAATAAAAACAAACAATATTAGTAATTTGGCGAAATCCCCGATAACGACGTCAATTTGAAAAGAGTTTAAATTTTCAAATAAATAAAGATTTTTTTCTCAAATAAATAAACCAAGAAAATGGTATAGAGAATAAAGGGTTGATATGCATGGAATTAGAAATTTTCTATATATGTTTGAATTGATCTTGATTCAATAAAGTAAAAAAGTAAAATAATGGGGGTTTAGAAAAATAAATTGAATAAATAAAAGTAAAAAAAAAATACGAAAAGTGGACGATTGTAAATAATTATGATGAGAGATAGCTTCCAACTTCAATTCACATCAAATATTTTTTATCACTAAAATAGATTTTACTTTGGATTTCAGCTGGTTACAGTTTACAAGCTCAACCCTTGTAACTTGCTCTTCTATCATGTGAACTAATTTCCAAAGTCAAGCATTGGAATTTAATTCTTATTTATATTAACAACATCTATCGATGTTAACACCAATGCTACTTTAAGTACTGTAAAAGCACATGCTCAGATTTTGTTGTCTCAATGAGAGTATAAAATTATCTGCATTTCCCTTAACGGACTGTCACTAAGTTTATTCTTAGGAAGTTGAATTTGCTACAAAATGATTCTTCTCCCCAATGGTAAATCAAAATAATATTCAAACCAAGGTACACTAATTGAATTGAAAATGTTGAGATATTTAAAGGAAATGTTGATTGTTAATCCTAGTTTGTAGAAAATCAAGAAATATAACACAAGAATTGAAACACTTTTCAATTATCATGAAATGGATTGAGTTGATGATCAGATTTTGGCTAATTAGAGTTTAGCCAAGCTTGGATTGGATCATGTTTATCATTTTGAAAAGAAAATAATTAAATAAAAGTAAAAAGATGAAAGAATAGTAGAACTTCAATAAATATACACATAAATATAAATTCCAACCTGAGTTCAAAGGTTGAACCTAAGTGGTATTTATAACAAAAAAGTTCTAAGTAAATAAAATAACTAATTCCTAAATAATAATAATATAACAATCAAACTAAAAATCATAAATCGAAAAGGTTTATCAGAAAAGATAAAAAAACAATTAAGTCTTGTACTTATGGTTGAATTATGCTTCATCTTATTCATAATCTTATGTCATGCAAATTCCAATTAAATATTTAAGATAATATTTCTCGTCTTCTAGAAAATGCTGACTGGACCATCGAAATCTGCTAATATTTTAGCTAATTAATCCAATAAAGCTCATGTCCAAAATAAACCCAAAATAAAGACAAATCATTAATGTCCAATCAATAAATAAGGAGTAAATAACAATAAATATATGTAATATTAAACACTCATCAAAATGATTCTCTTTCCTCAAACTCTTATATTGTCACAACATTGGCCATAAAAGCCTTCATGTTGTGGTTGTCATCCCATTTCTCTTGCAAGTAAATATCAATAATATCAATGGAATTACATTCAACACTATCGTCAATATAAGAAACATTGCTCATGACATTGAAAGTAATATATTCATAATTTAATCGCCAGGTAAGTTCTCCCTTTTCAATGCCTATGAGAGCTCGCCCAGTGGCAAGGAAGAGTTGACATAGAATAACAAGAACATCTTTATCATCTTTACAATCTAATATGATGAAATCGGTGGGAAAGATGAATTTTTTTACTCTCACAAGCATGTTTCCATAATGTTGCTAAGATCTACAGTGTAATGATCTGCAAGCTGCAAAGTGACGGTGGTGGGTCTTCCTTCTCCACTCACGAATTTTCTAAAAAATGAAAAAGCATAAGATTAATGATGTTACCCAAATCACATAAAGCCTTACCTAAAAATTGATGGCAATCAACAGGTTGCCATTGCACTACACCCCTCAGTGAGAGCAAGTTTTTCAAATTTGCCAAGCCTTCGCTTCTTTGAGAGAAATTCTGGCATGAACTTGATGTAGTTCAGATTTTGCTCTAAAGCATCAATCAATGGAATGTTGATTGTCAGTTGTTGAAGCACATCGATAAATTTTTTGAATTATTGATACTAATTTGTTTTCTTGAATCTTTGAGGAAATGGTGGTAGAGGTCTTGGATTTGGTTAACTTAGCCCTGGTTGTGACATTATAGTATTACAGGAGGTGTTGCTATAGGCATCATTTCTAGCAATGACCCAAAACTACTACTCTTTCCTGCATATTTTATTGCAACATCTAAAGTATAAGCATTTTTAACCACGACTTTAACCTTGGTTTACTGGTCTAGCCTCTCATATTTCTTTGTCTTACTTTCAGTAGTTGATTTTACAAGATGAATTCCAATTTGAGTTATGATGGCGTTACAATGCTCATTTCAATGAGCCTTTCCATGAGATTTAGGAACTTCAAGGTCACTCGGTAATGTACCTGGTTGCCTATTGCTTAATGCATTATCCAACTATCCACTAGATTCTCCAATGCTCTTAGTGATGCTGACTAGTTTTGGATAAAGGTTTCATTCCTTTGATTCGTTGCTTTATTCTTTGAAATTTACTCCTTTAGTAGATATTCAAGTGGTGATGAAGTTGAAGCTTGGTTGAAAGTCTACCCTTTATAGCTTTTTCTTTATTGTGGTTGTACAGTTGACTGATGATGTGGCAACATCTGTTGTTGTTGTTGATTTCCAAAATGAGACTGCACAACATTGGAATTGACAACATTCTAGCTTCTTCAAACCAAGTTTGGATGGTTACGAAATTTGGCATTGTATGAGTTACCATATCTGTTATCACCTCTATTATAATTCCTAACAAAATAAATGGACTTAGGGTTTTGTGGGCATTCCTCATAGTTATACGCATCACCACAATAAACACAATAGAGATGAGATACGACTTTTACCTCATACATGTCCCCTGGATTTTGCAATTTCTTCACCATGTCGGTCAATGCTATGATTTGGGAAGCCATTGAACTTATAGTACCAGTATTGGTTGTTGCAGCATTGCTTATGTCAAACATGTTCCTCGTGTTGAGGTATTGATAATTGTTGTTAGACATTCTTTTTAGAAGATCATAGGCCTCGTTGTATGCCTTATCCAGCAATGATCCATTAGCACAAGCATCAACCACCATACGAGTATGCATGTTCAACATGTGGTAAAACATCTTCATTTGCTTCAAATGGGGAAATCCATGCTTGGACACTTTTATAGAAAATCCGTAAAACGATCTCCTGCTTCATACAAATTCTCTTCCTTCAATTTCTTGAAGGACGATAGATTATTTCTCAGATTTGCATTCATATTGGGCGGATTTAAGCACAACAAGAACTTTTGTGCTAACTCATTCCAGGATGTTATAGCATCGGATGGCAACAAGTTTAGCCATGCTCTAGCTTTATCTCTGAGCGAATAAGGAAATAACTTCAGCTTCAATACTTCCTCTTGAACTCATTATTGAACAAAATAATCATACACCTCTATAAATGATCGAAGGTGTGCCCTTTTATCTTATGTGAATGACCCATTGCATGGCCCAATTGACTGCAATATCTTAAACATCACCAGGTTCAACTCAAAGTTTGCAACTGGATAGATGTTCATACAATGCAATGATGTAGAACATCTAGTGTTGGCACAATGTGCTCTAATAGGTGGTTGCGGTCATCCATGTTATAATATTATTGTTACTCAAATCCAATGCCAGATGGTATTTCTCTATCTTCAACATTGTTTAATGGTGGACATGTATTGCTATCATGTCCTTAATCACGCATGTTTATTTGACTACAATTGGCTTATCTTCGATGGTGGTGAAATGTTCATTCGATTTTAGGGTCAAATGACACTAGATCATCATCGCTCTAGGATATAAAATAACACACTAAACCGAAAATAAGAAATGGGTACCTACAAAAGAAAAATAAAAAAATAACTAAATAAAAATAAAAGCTCTAATGTAAAGCTATTGCTCCCCGGTAACAGTACAAAAAAAACTTGATGCTAATAATAATGCTATAAAAAATGAAAGTGTACAATATCGTATCAGTGTAATAGAATGGAAGTTGTTAAGCTTTGGATGTTGAACCCACAGAGAGCTAATGTTTTTAAAAATATTTGTATAAAGAAATCAAAATATATATTTCGAAATGAGTAACTTGGAAATAAACAGCAAATTAAAGAAATTAGAATAGGAATACCAGTTAGTTTTATAACAAACAAGAGAGCATTAAGTCAATGATCGAATGGATTATGATGATAATTGGCTACTTATTATTATCATGCAATAAACCCTATTCTCATGTATCCAGCAAAGATTAATCACATTTCATCAACAAGAATCAATTGTCAATAATTCAAGTAATCAAATAATTTACTATGCTAGATAATTGGCAGCATGTATCTCGACATGCAAGATTGTTTTTCACCAAAACCAATGTTGAATGAAAGTGTATGAACTATCAATTATTTCAGTTTCTAAATACCATCAACAATCCATACATAAAGATAATAATATTTCTAAAATTATCTTGGATGTGTAGCAGCACATAAGCATAAAGTAAAGGCATAAAATCATAATAAAAACATCCATAAACTATTAAGTTTATCGTCAACATATCATCCACAAATTAACAAACTTCTTAATCAACTCGCTACTTCCTTATCTTAAATAAAGAGAAAGAGTAAAAGTAAGATGGTCCTCTTGACTATTGATGCTACTCAGCAAAACTCCCAAGCTACTACAGTGCTCCCTCGCAAGGGACTTAGGCAACCATGGATGATTAAAAAGTAAAATATGTGGAGAGAATATTTTGAGATGAGAAAATTAAATAGTGAAATAATGTAGATAGATCTCTAATTTACAAACTAAGGAATTCAACCTTCAACCAATAGAATGCTTCCACGTTTTAGATAATTTTAGCCATTTGACAGTTTTCCTTGCCAACAGTGACTCATCGGTTGCTGCAGCGTCTACTAAGTATCCCGTGTAGCCTCAAGCAATGCTGTAACATCAGTTTAACAAATTTCAGCAATAAATATCAACTTTTTCCTACTTTCCTCACTCAGCTCTCACTATACAAAACATATGAAAATATGTATAAAACAATCCTAATAAGCTTTTAGCATTGCTAAAATTCAAGCTAAACCTATACATAAGGAACTCAAATTATTTCTCTTTTGGACAGTTATTACATTAAAATGAAAATCATCTTCTCTTCTTCAATCCACTCCTACATCTCTCTAGTTGGAATATGATAAACTTATATCATAATGCTCTATGCTTCCAAGTCATTTTCTTAAATGAAGAGATTTATTTTAATATTCCAATAGGCACAGTTGGTTTTATTATGGAAGCTTGTTGATGGGTTAAGAGTCACTAACAACATCGAAAAATGAAGGAAATGCTATTTATCACTTGAATTGTAATTCAAATCTTATAGAATATTCTCAATAGATGGTTAAACCTTTCAATGATTGAGGCTCTGATAAACAAATGTTGATCCAATTGATCTTTAATGTGGCTAAGGGATGGGTAAATTGGTAATAAACATTTTATGGAAACTCTAACAAAAACAAGAAAGAATGAAACAAAGAATTTATAATGGTTCCAATCCCTCAATAAAGTATACATCCAATATCTTAGATTACACACTAAGTATTTTCATAAATTCACTAATTTGATCAACCTTTTATGACAAGGTGTAAACCTATAACTACTTAAGATTTATACTAAAAAAATCTTAAGTTTATACTCACTCATAAATAGAAAAAAATATGAACCTCATAAGATAGATTGTTTACACAAATTGAAGTTCACACACACCCAATAACAACTAGAATAATAATTACAATGATAGACAACTAGGTTTCAATTAAAGAACGATTAAAATGAGTACAAACTAAAACTTTGAGCTCTTGATTGTCTTTCTTGATTATCCTTGGTTGTTATAAGTTCACTTTTATATGCTCTCAATGTTTTTCTAACCATTTGAGGTTGTTGGAAAAAGTTTGGAACCATTTGAATCATTACATTCTTGCGTTAAAGGCTACCTACCCAGGAAGTTTTGAAACTCCAGAGAAAGTTTTGAAACTCTTAAAACACAATTATAATTTTCTTAATATTATAAACTCCAAGTTTCAAAACATTGACATTGAGTTTCAAAAGTTTAAAGTTTCAGAAATTAATGAATTTCAAAACTTCGTTCGAGTTTTTAAACTTTATATTGATTTTCAAAACTATGTGTCTAAAGTTGAAACAAATTGCAAGTTTTGATATTTTGAAACAATTCTAACTTTGAGAAATATTATTAATTATATGAATTATATTTTGAAACAATTCTAACTTTGAGAAATATTATAAATTATATGAATGATATAATTTTTACTTATAAAAAATATTTGAGAGCTTTAGAAAAAATTTAGGGAAATATTTTTATTTTATAAAAATAATACTTATATATTCAATGTTAAATCAAAATAATTTAGGCTTATCATAATGTTCTTAAATGCATTAATCTGTGCTAAGTGGTAGATCTTAAAAATAAGGTAGTGATGGAAACTTTTATAGTCAAGCACCATTGACAACTGTCATTTCGGATGTCAAAATAATTCCTTATTCTCAATCAATAAATTAAGGAAATGCGTAGCAAGGAGAAGTAAGGGTCGATTCCACAGGGACTTAGAAAATTATAAATTTCTGTCTGAATTATTTATGCCAGGCGTGAAACAGTAAAAATGGGGGGATTTTAGTAAAAGATAATAAAGTGATGAAATAAAAGTAATTAAAGTAAAAATAAGAAGATGAAGATTGTGAATAAATACGGTAAAAGTAGCCTCAAGCTTCGCTTTGATTCAATTTCCTTTAGATCATCGAATAAGATTTTCTCTTCGGGATTCATGTCGGTTACTTTGTCTACAAGGGCTATCCTTGTGACTCTATCTTGTATATCGAATACCCAAGGAAATCTTTGATTCCGGCTTCGGTAGTTGATTCTAACAACATCTATTGTCGTATATCAAATACCGTTTAAGTTCGTGGCGACCGACTCGGATTGTTGTTTCTATAACCATCAATTTCGATCTCAATTCCCTCTTGGCGAAGCTATCTCGCCAAGTGTGTTCCCAGGAAGTCGAATTGCTTTCTATAAGCCGAATCTTACTCCCACACGTTTAATCGCAACAACCTCTTGACCAAAGTCAATCTTTGATTTTGAAAACTGTTTTGATTTTTGAAAAATAAGCGCAGAGATTGAGATAGATATTCTGAAGATATTAAGGGACCGTTTCAATTATCCCGTTGGAATTGAATCATCGCGACAGCTCTCGGCTTATGAAAAGTTTAGCTAAGCATGACAAAAGTCATACTTAGCATAAAAATAAAACTTGAAAATAAAGAAAAATAAAAATAACTTGAAAAGGAAAAGAGAAAACTTTTATAAAAACTAGAGAGAAAAGAAGAATGTATTCCGAATGAATGTTTTTAGGCTTACCCCAAGTGGGTATTTATAGCCTCTCAAAGCCTAAAGGATAAGCAAAGAAAATAATAAAATAATACAAAAGATAATTGTTTTTAAATTTAAATTCAAACTTAAACTAGTCTCCTAATGCAACTCTACTCGTCAATCTTCCAGAAGGCGTGCGGAAGAAGTCTTCTAGAAACCGCCGCTGACTGGACCTTCTAGAAACTGCCACGTCATACCGCGTCGTGCCCAGAGTCGTGCCCATGTCTCCAGTCGTGACCAAATAATAAAAAAATGCAGAATTCGCCCGTTTTGTCACAAATTCTGGAAAACAATGACCTGTACGAAAACAAGAACAACACGACCAAATTAACAGCAATAAATCCACAAAACCGAAGAAATAACGTGCAAATATTAACTATTCTAAACACTCATCAAATTCCCCCTCACTTATCTCATGCTTGTCCTCAAGTATGATTAACCAAATCAGTCAAAAACTTCATTAAACATTCTTTGTCAAGTTTCATATTCAAGGAAGCAAGGTAGAGACCACAATAACTATTGAAGTTAAGAAATCAATCAACTGAACATCACCAATTGAAACAAGTCAAGTGCAATTGTAATATCCATTCATTCATAAATCTCAATGCTCATAACTCAATACCTTACCGGGATTCACTCAAATCACTCAATGTGTTTGGGGTAAAAAAAAGCTCAATGTCAGAATCGACACGATATTACCATAAGCCTGCAAGTAAATCAAATCTCCACTACTAATAAGAACAAGATGCATAAATCAAATGGTCTTTTATTGGTTGTAACGTGGCTTAGGTA